TTTTAGATTTGCTGTGATTTCTTTTATTGCCCCAAATGTACTTTGTCTTGGTAGATGTTCTGTTGCCTTTAAAAATGTGTGTATTTTCCTACTGGGGAGTGGGGTTTTGTACAGGTGTCAGATTTTGCTGGTTGACTGTTCAGATCTTTTGTAAATCCTTGCTCCTTTTCTACCTAGTTTTACTCTGTCACTTAGGCTAGAGTGTGCAGTGGCACAAACATGGCTCATTGCAACCTTGACCTCCTAGGTTCAAGCAGTTCCCCTGCCTTAACCTCCCAAGTAGCTGGGACTATAGGTGTGTGCCGCCACACCTGGCTAAATTTAAAATTTTTTGGAGAGATGAGTCCTTGCTGTGTTGCCCAGGCTCAACTCCTGGCCTCAAGTGATCCTTCTGTCTTGGCCTCCCAGAGTGCTAGGATTACAGGTTTGAGCCACTGTGTCCAGCCTCTGCCTAGTTTTAATAGTTGCTGAGAGGAGGATGTTGGTGGGTTAATCCTATTGTCACTATGCAGTTGTTATAGTCACTTCCTTTTCACCCCATTGGTGAAGGAGGGGTTTCTGCCCTAAAGTATAGGAGATGGCTGAACACAACACCTGGTGTGAATGGATGAGATTGACAGCAGTGTTTTTGTCACATATACCCACAGCTTAAAGGAGGACACTGCATGCCACCCAGAGTCAGATGGGCACTGTACTCAGTAGCAGAGTGAGGGCTGGGGTTGGGGGAGGCAGGCAGGCTTGATAGTAACAGGAACACACAATGACCATTGGTTCCCAAGGGGTTTGTGGTTGGCTTGTTTGAATAAATTCATGGGCTGGCAAACAGGTGAAGTGAAACTTGTTAGGCTGAGGTGCAGCTGCTCTGGCTGATAAAAGAACTAGCCTGGTTGGGAACCTTTCTGCTGGGTGGTGGCAGGGTAGGGGCTGCCTGGTAGAAACGGAAAAACCCATGGCTAGGCCTTTGGAACTCTGTGAGGCTCAAAGATGTCAAGGCAGCATAGGAAATGTTAGATCTTAAAATTCAGCAAAGACCCTCTCCAGCTCTGGTAAATTATTTTGCTCTGAAGTCTACTTCATGAGATATTAATATATTCATTCCTGCTTCCTTAAAAAATTAATGATTGCATGGGATATCTTTCTCCATTCTTTTACTTTCAGCCTACTTACGTCCTTAAGTGAGTTGGAAATTTCTTATGAACAGTATCTAGTTGGGCCATGTGTTTATTATAGCTGTGCTCCCCATCAGTCTGTCTTTTGGTTTATTGAGACCATTTATATTTAAGGTGCTTATTGTTACATAATTGCTTAAGTCTGATGTTTTAATTATTTGCTTTGTTTTCTTTTTCTTTCCTTCCATCTTGATTTATTTCTGTATAATGTTGTGTGTATCTCTTTGTAGTCTTTTTTTTTCTCTTTGTATAGTCTTAAAGTGTTTGCTCTGGATCTTACAATATGAGTATTGTAATATAGCAGTCTACTGGTACCAGTATTTACCTCTTCAAAGTCTGGAAACCCATCTTCCATTTAGGTCTCGTTACCTTTTCTGCTTTTGTAAATCGCTGGCTTGAATATTAAGTGGTGGTATAGTTTTTGTTTCAGCCATCAAATGTGATTTTAAGAACTCCAGATTGTCTAGTGTATGTGTCCACATTTCTGGTCTTTCTTTTGTCCCCCCTCCCATAGTACCATATTCATCCCTTCTGCATAAGAACTTTCTGTAGCCATTTTTTTTATTTTTTTGTTTTAATTTTTTGTATTCTCGAAGTAACAGCAATATTTAGTATTTCTAAATTTACTAGTGATGAATTTCTATATTCTTTTCCTCTGACAATGTCTTTATTTCTCTCATTTCTGAAGGGTGGTTTCACAAGATATAGAATTTGTAGCTGACAGTTTTTTTTAAGTAGTTGAAAATATGTCATTTCCCTCTTGCCTCCATGATTTTAGAGGCAAAATACACTGATATTTGAGTTGGCATGTCCCTACAGGGACATTTTTGCCATTTTTCTGACATTTTTGGTCTTGTTTTTAGTTTTGAAAGTTTAATTGGTGTTGCTTTCTTTGGTATACTTTGAGATTTGCTCAGCTTCTTGAATCTGTAAGTTTTCTATCTTTCACCAAATGTGGGAAGCATCAGGCATTAGTTCTCTACGTGCTCTCGCAGCTCTGGTCTCCTGTAAGACTCTGATAACATAAATGTGGGGTCTTTTGTTATTGTCCCACAGGTCCATGCAACTTTTGTTCATTTGTTTTCAGGTTATTTTCTCTCTATTGTCTAGACTGGGTGAATTCTGCTGATCAGGCTTTATGTTCTCTGATTCTGTCCTGTGTCATCTCCACTTTTACTCAATAGAGTCCATCCTGAGAGATTTATTTTATAATTTATGTTACTGTATTTTATATTTCTAATTTCCATTTGATTCTTCTTCATTCTCTTTGCTGAAGTTTTCAGTTTTTTGTTTGTTGCCATGGGATTTGTTGTTGCTTGTTGAAGCATTTTTATACTGGCTGTTCAAAGTGATGAATCAAATGGTTCAAGCATCTGACTCATTTCAGTGTTGGTGTCTTCAGTTGTCCTTTCACATTAAAATTATTATTTTCTCAGTGGTACAACAGGTGATATTCTCTTGATTCCTACACATTTTGGTTATTCTGTTAGAAAGCCTATGTAATTTTCTTAATTTTTGCAGGCAGTTCTCCTGTTTAGGTTTAGTATGTAGGTCCTGGTCTACTTTGTGGGCTGTGATTCCAATGACAATTTAATTTCAGAGCCTTCATGGTGCCATTTTGGTCTGTTTGGTTTATCTGGTATCACTGGGACTCTCCCACCAGTCCCTGCTAGTGCCCACCTGAGGGAACAGGGGAGCTGCCCCAGGCTGGGCCACCTGCTACAGCTAGGTGGGTGGGGCATGGTGGTTGTCTTTGTGTGTGGAGCTGGTTTTTTTGTGGGGAAGATTGCCTTTGTCCTATGGGGGATTAAGCCTGCCTGCCTTGCCTTCTGTTGCTAGGTTGGGAGTTGGGAAACAATGGGCCTAGGTCACCCTCCTGTTGGATGGGGTCCAGGGAGACACCTGGCCACTATGCATTCCCCAGTGCTAGAGTCCCTCGGCAGCCTTTTTCTGTCCACATTTCAGAATTCGCCATTGATTATCTCTTGTCTACTGTTTCTAGAGTTGAGGTTACACTTCTTAGTCAGGAGGGAATAATGTGTTGTCTTCTCTACCAGAAGTCCTTAGTGGTGGTTCTGAGTTGTAACTGTGCTAAAGGAAGAATTGGCATATTGGTGATATCGTGTCTTTCTTTTCAAAAAGGGCATATCATTATTCCATAGACAATATTTACAACACCTACTTCCTTGGGTTGAAGAGTGTGGTTAAGGCAAGGAAAGTACTTAAAGCAGTACCTGGTGTGGAGAGAATTTACTAGTGTTGGCGGTGATGCTATTCCTTTTGTCCTTTGGTAGCTTATTAAAGCTTTTCTTTTTTAAAAAACTGAAGTTCTGCATATTTCTTGTTAGGTTTATTCCTATTTTATCCTTTTTTGCTTTTGTAACAAATAGGAGCTTCCTATCTGTTATATCTTCTACCTGGTTCTTTGGCTCTTATGTGAAAATGTTTTAGTAGCCTTTAAAATGTTGCCTCCCAAATGAGTTTTAACTTGTGTATTTCTTTTATTTCTTTTCTTTTCTTTTTTTGAGACAGGGTCTCACTCTGTCACCCAGGCTGAAGTTCAGTGACACAATTATGGCTCACTGCAAACTCTGCCTCCCGGGCTCCCAAAGTGCTGAGTTTATAGTCATGAACCACTGCACCCAGCCTTGCTTGTCAATTTCTTTTAAGACTGGGACCTTGTAATCCCAGCACTTTGGGAGGCTGAGGCAGGTGGATCATGAGGTCAAGAGATCCAGACTATCCTGGTCAACATGGTGAAACCCCACCTCTACTAAAAATACAAAACATTAGCTGGGCATGGTGGAGCATGCCTATAATCCCAGCTACTCAGGAGGCTGAGGCAGGAGAATTGCCTGAACCCAGGAGGTGGAGGGTGTGGTGAGCTGAGATCATGCCATTGCACTCCAGCCTGGGTAACAAGAGCAAAACTCCATCTCAAAAAAAGAAAGAAAGAAAAAAAAGAGTGGGACCTATTGTTGAGCTCAGTGCCCCAAACACAAATAAAGAAATGAATGAGTGAATGAGCTCTTCCCATGGATTTGGTGTGGGTTGGGGCTGTACTCTTGATCTAAATGCTATGTTTTATATAATCTAAGATTTCCCCTAGGTGTATTACACGATTGTGTTGTATTGAACTTACACTGAGACTCTTTTTCACATATGCTGGTATCAGCATGGGGGTTTTCTATTCACTCTTTGAACTGTTCGTTTGGGGGGACACAGACCTATGTCTCTCATCAAGAGCATCCATTGGCCAGGCCCAGTTGCTCATGCCTGTAATCCCAGCACTTTGGGAGGCCAAGGCAAGTGGTTTATGAGGTCAGGAGTTCGAGACCAGCCTGGCCAATATGGTGAAATCCCATCTTTACTAAAAATACAAAAATTAGCCAGTCCCAGTGGTGGGCATCTGTAATCCCAGCTACTTAGAGGCTTAGGCAGGAGAATTGCTTTGACCCGAGAGGTGGAGATAGCAATGAGCTGAGATTGTGCCACTGCACTACATTCTGGGTGACAGATCAAGACTCCACATCAAAACAAAAATGAAAACATAAAAGAATGTCCATTATCTATACTGGAAAAACTGAGATTTGCATTTTGACATGAAGTGTGGAAATGCAACTCAGGTCCATTTTGTTTACCTAAACAGATGGCAAAATACTAACTGTTTTATGAAGCATTCTTGAGTGCAAAGTTCTGCCTCTGTCTGTAATGATGGGAACAGTAAGAATGAGCCTTGGAACATAGAGCACATTGTGGACCTGTGGCGGGTGATACCAGTGGCACATACATGCCTGACTCACAGAGCAGCCTTTGGGTGTTCTTTTCCAGAGGAGCTCTATGGTGACTTTGAAGACTTGGAAACAGGGGATGTGCACAAGGGAAAATCAGGCCCCATTACTCAGGTATGATTTTGCTATGACTGGCTGTTCTTGGTCATTGTGTTCTGAGAGAGGCCCATATGGAGAAATGCAAATCTGACTTGTGATGTGTGACAATTGCAGTCTGGCTGGATGAATGGATTCCTTCCTAAGAGGTCAGTTTGTGGGGACCATAGAGAAGCTTTCTTGTTTAGTTGTTAAGTTTTGGATGACACATACTACTGCTTCTTGCTAGTCATTTGCCAAGTCCCCTGTGATTTTTCATTCATGGAAGTCTTAGCTCCTTGGGGTTACATTCCACCATTGCCATCATTGTCCTCTTCTTAAATTTGATTGTCCTCTTCTTTAAATTTAAATTTAAAACAACAAAGTCCCTTTTCCCCCTGATATTTCTTTAGATCAGGGTCTGGGGGCACCTGGGTAAGGGATATGTCTGCTATTTTTATTCCAGTGTGTGTTCCCAGCCAGCTTAAGGAATGGAAGCTAATTGTAATGGAGATGTAACCATTTCCTATAGCGGTACCAAGTTATTCAGAGACAATATCGTATTTTGTTTTGTTTTGTTGATAATGATAACAGATTTTTGCTAAAATTTTTGTTCAAATAAAACTTTAAAAAATCTAATGTTTAAATAAAAGACCTTCATAATGTATACAAAATTTTTTATTCTGGGAATTTAAGAATGAAGATGTAGAGAAAGAAGTTAAGGAAGAAATTGACTCCAATGAAGAGGAGAGTGCCAAGAAAAAGCATCTGGATAAGACAAGAAAATTGAAGGAGATGTTTGATGCAGAATATGATGAAGGAGAAAGCACATATTTTGATGATCTTAAAGGAGAAATGCAGAAACAAGCACAGGTGAGAAACCTCAGTTCCTCTCAGCCAAGACTATCATAGCACAGGAATCTCACTTCGTTTGGGTCTCTGCTTCCTATCCTGCTTGTCTGCCTTTCATTTGGACTCTGGGTAGAGATGATGTGAATGTGTTTATTCCTGCAGTGAGCTCATTGTTTTTGCAGTCAGAAGATCACGGGAAAAATATTCATACCTATTTTATACCAAGAATTAGGAAACAGAAATGACTAAGACTTGGTCTTTGCTTTGAGACATTCACAGTGTAGTGATCTGAGACAGTGTTTGCTTTAGTGCAAGCATTGGCTGCCTATTCCGATCGCTGCTCCCTGATTTTAATGGCAGGTGATCAGTGGCCCTTGTGGCTTATGGACACACCAGAGTTCCCAGGAGGAGTGCTCTGAAAACTCACCCTGGTCAGAGTTCAGAAGGACATGTGGAGTGTAAGGTCAGATGTGGAGATAAAGGGAGGTGGTGTGGCTCTCCTGCCTGGAGGTGCTGAGCAGGCTGTTGGAGGTGGTGATCTCATTCTGAAGGAGACACACAAATGTGTGTACAGTTGATGGTGAACATCTGAGTTCCGCCTTGTTAGTGGCTCCAGGAGTACGTCTGTAAGCTGGAACAGATTAGGTATACAATTTGTTAAAGGGAGTTGAAAGGCTCTGCTCAGCCTAGGTTTTCATCTAATCAAAGAACTGTCTCCTGATTAGGTATTAGCTTAGTGGTTGCAAGTCTGCATTGCCCTTTGACAGACATGAATTAGCTAACTCTGAAGTCTTTGCTTCACACCATTTACAATTTTAAATGACCTAGAGCCTGTGGGCCATTGTAAAAAACTAAATTTTTCACTCTGAAATGAGAGTCCTTGGAGGGTTTTGAGCAGAGGAGAGACATGCACGTAATCAGATCACTCTGACAAGAGATCATTCGGGTGGCACAAACCAGAGGGTTGGCCGTAGAGATGAGACAAAGAGTTAAACCGGATATACTTTATTTGGAAGCTGGGTCAGTAGGATTTCCTGGTGGACTGAATGTGGGGTGTGTGAGAGGAAATGAAGTTGACAACTGGAAGTTCCTGGAAGGGTGGATTGTTGTAAGTTAGACAGGAAATGCTCTATGGATGTGGCTTTGGGAGGACGATGTTTGGGTCATGCAGACAAGTGGAGTGTCGGGTCTAGAGAGAGAGGACTGGCTAGAAACTTAGATGAACAGCTCTCAGAATGTAGATGCCACATAAAGCTGTGAAGTGACCAGGGAGTGAGTGCAGAGTGAGGGGGAGGAGCAGGACTGGTGTGGGTGAGAGGGGGTGACTGCAGTGGTGAGGCTTGAGAAGTGCCCAGGAGGGAGAAGCAGTGTGAGCATGCTGGCATGCAGGAGGCCAGCTGTACACTGAGGTGACACATTGTTCAGATCCCACTGCCATGGTACTGTGGTCAAGGCAGAGTTGGCCACTGGAGGAGGGGTGTGGAGGCCTTCAGGAATCTTGGCAAGCACCACTTTTCATGGATGTAGGAGAATGAAGCAGAGGAACTGGAGGCTGTAACTGCAGAAAACTTTTGTGGGGTTTTGCTGCAGAGAGAAGCAGAGAAATGGAGCAGTTGTTGGTGGAAGAAGTGGAATCAAAAGGTTTTGCAAAAAGTGAAATAACAGAGAAGAGCCGTTGGAATAAAGTCCAGGAAGAGTGGATGGTGACTAGTAAGCAAGTGATGTGGTGGCCCTGAGTGGAGGCATGGACAGATCATCTGTGCCTGAGCTGCCTGTAGAACTCTCTGTTTTCATGGAGACACACATCTGTGCTTCCCAATATTGTAACCCTAGCTGCAGGTTGATAAGGACCACTTCCAGTGTGACTAGTGTGACTGAGAAACTGCATTTTAAATATTATGTAATTGTAATTAATTTTAATTTAAATAGCCACACATAGCTTTCCTATGGGCTAAGTCAGAGCTCTGATAAGGCTGGATATGGGAGGAAACCCTGGTAGAGGGTTGACTGTGGAGGTTCTTTTGGGTTTGGATGAATCAGCAAACAACTATCAGATAAGTGATGGTGAGGGAGGTGTTGGGTGTTTGAAGACAGGGGAAAAGTGTGAAAGAATTGCTTGTAGAGAAGGAAAGAAGGTGTGGACTGTGGACGTTTCCAGTGTTTGGGCATGCAGGGCTCCACAGAGTTGTCTGCATTTGCTGTCCCTTGGAGCTGCAGGGAAGAAAACAGTTGACACATTCTTAGCAGACTGTAGAGGTAAAATGTGTAGTAGTTGTTTGTTTGTTTGTTTTTTAGATGTACTCTTGCTTTGTTGCCCAGGCTTGGGTGCAATGGCATGATCTCAGCTCACTGCAACTTCTATCTCCTGCGTTCAAGCAATTCTCTCACCTCTGCCTCCTGAGTAGCTGGGAATACAGGCACACGCCATCACGCCCAGCTAATTTTTATATTTTTAATAGAGATAGGGTTTCACTATGTTAGCCAGTCTGGTCTCAAACTCCTGACCTCAAGTGATCCACCCACCTCTGCCTCCCAAAGTGCTGGGATTATGGGCATCAGCCACTGTGCCAAGACAAATATGTAGTATTTTAATAGGTTAAAGCCTACATAATTCTGTCAACAGTTCTTTACTTAGAAGTTGCTAATTTGTTCATGTTAATCTTATGTTTATTACAGATAATGTTTTTTTCCCTGTCATGTATAGCTGAACCATGCAGAATTTGAGGATCAAGATGATGAAGCCAGAGTTCAGTATGATGGTTTTGGACCTGGGATGTACATCTGCGTCAAGATTGAAAATGTTTCCTGTGAATTTGTGCAGAACTTTGACCCCCCCATTACCTTATTATCCTGGGTGGCTTGGGCAACAGTAAGGGCAATGTTGGATACGTGCAGGTGGGTCCCTTTGCTGTGTATTTGGTGCCTGAGACTCTGTGGATTTCCCCTCCATCAGTCATCTTACCCTTTCTTCCCCTCAGATGTGTCTGAAGAAACATCACTGGTATAAGAAAATCCTCAAGTCCCGAGATCCAATCATATTTTCTGTAGGGTGGAGGAGGTTTCAGACCATCCGACTCTACTATATCGAAGATCACAATGGATGGCAAAGGCTTCTAAAGTACACGCCACAGCACATGCATTGCGGAGCAACCTTTTGGGGTAAAATATGACTACAATAAGTTGCTTGTTGCCGAGGTTAAACCTTACAGTCTGCATCATTACAGCTTTGTGCTTTTCCTTTCATGAAATTCTACTCCTAAGATTTTTCTCTTTTCTGGGGAGGGAAGGTAGTTTGGAGTATATAGGTAAATTTGTATCCAGATGTAAATGTAAACCTAGAATCTAAAATTAATGGTTTGCTCTATTTCTTTTTTTCCTTTTCCTTTAAGGCCCTACCACTCCACAGGGAACTGGTTTCTTGGCAATACAGTCTGTCAGTGGCATGATGGTAACTAATTTGGATAATTTCTTCTACAGACTGGTTTGAGAAATATATCCTGATTGTGGGTTATTATGTACATGAGACTTTAAGTTGAAGATTACTCACTTTTTGTAATACAAAGTAAATTTCCCTTTGCTTTTAATCTTCCTACATCCTTTTCAGTAGGGTGTGGGAGTATAGGAGGGGAGGATTATGGTACTGAAGACATTTTCTATTTATGTGCATTTTTTGGATGTATTTATCTAAGCAAGTACTTAAGCAGTGCTCACCATGTGCTAAGCACTACTGAGGTTGTGAAGAGCTGTCAGAGACTAGCCAGACATGAGGCTCCCTGTGGCCATGCTGGAGTAGCAGTCTGTTCATTCCATTTTCATTTGAACAGTCAAGTCAGGCAGGGCAAGGTTTATTGGTCCTATTTAATAGAGAAGAAAGAAGAATAGTGAGCAGATGGAATAGATCCAAAGTTTAATTTCCTAAACATTGCAACTGCTTTTTTCTTTTCCATTTCATTCCAAATAGATTATTTATTTTTTATTTTGAGATGGAGTTTCACTCTTGTTACCCAGACTGGAGTGCAGTGGCGCGATCTCGGCTCACTGCAACCTCCACCTCCTGGGTTCAGGCAATTCTCTTGCTTCAGCCTCCTGAGTAGCTGGAATTACAGGCATGCGTCACCATGCCCAGCTAATTTTTTGTATTTTTAGTAGAGACGGGGTTTCACCATGTTGACCAGGATGGTCTGGATCTCTTGACCTCATGATCCACCCATCTCGGCCTCCCAAAGTGCTGGGATTACACAAATAGATTATTATAGTGGAATTCTGTTCCTCTGAAATCAGTCTCAGGAAAGTACTCAAGTAATCCTTTTTCATTGTTGTTGTTTTGTTTTTTTGAGACAGAGTCTAACTCTGTTGTCCAAGCTGGAGTACAGTGGTGTGATCTCCACCGACCACAAACTTCATCTCCTGGGTTCAAGCAATTCTCCTGACAGCCTTCCAAGTAGCTGTGATTACAAGTACACACTACCATGCCCAGACAATTTTTGTATTTTAGTAGATACAAATATGGGGTTTTGCCATATTTTGGCCAGGCTGTTCTTGAACTCCTGACCTCTCGTGATTCACCCACCTCAGCCTCCCAAAAAGTGTTGGAATTACAGGTATGAGCCATTGCACCCAGTCTTAAGTCATCCTTGTTAGGATGACTATACTCCTATACTCCCACACCCTACTGAAAAGGATGTAGGAAGATTAAAAGCAAAGGGAAATTTACTTTGTATTACAAAAAGTGAGTAATCTTCAACTTAAAGTCTCATGTACATAATAACCCACAATCAGGATATATTTCTCAAACCAGTCTGTAGAAGAAATTATCCAAATTAGTTACCATCATGCCACTGACAGACTGTATTGCCAAGAAACCAGTTCCCTGTGGAGTGGTAGGGCCTTAAAGGAAAAGGAAAAAAAGAAATAGAGCAAACCATTAATTTTAGATTCTAGGTTTACATATTGGATATGAACATTTACATCTGGATACAAATTTACCTATATACTCCAAAATTTGGCTCACCAATTTTAAAGTTTTGTATTGCTTTTATCAAACCACTGGGTTGCAAGTTCAGATGGTCTCTCTTGGTTTTCTTAGCTATTGTAAATAAAATTCACTTTGGTAATTTATTGTGTCACATAGAATTGAAGTTTTTCTCTTGCTGATATTATTCTATTTTCAAATGTTGGGGTTCCTGTTAGCCTGATTTCCTGGATAGCTGCCACAGGAATTGTCCTTGATCTGGATAAATCCATAAAAATTGTGAAGAAATTAAAGCTAACTGGTTTTCCATATAAAATTTTCAAGAACACTTCATTTATTAAGGTCTGTATCTAAATATTCTCTATTTATAAATGTCCACATTGTTTGAGTAAAGGAATGAAATACTAAAATATGGGCCTCATGTTGTTAGAAAATGTATTTGAAATTTTTTATCAGCCTCATATCTTCTTTGTTTGCTCTCTGTATTCTGTGTTACTTATGCTCAAAAAAGCAGTAGTAACAGCTATTTAGGAATTGAGGCTGTTACTCATGACTTCCATGTGAGACTGCTACAGAACTCATATTGAAAATACATCATTTTATCCACTGGGTTTTATTTCCTTCTTTTTGGATTTGTGTTAAGAAAGGGAAAGAAATCACAAGTTTGTCTAACCATTCAGTAGGAAAATAGACAAAGCATTTGCAGACAACTTGGCAAGGGTACAGAGAAATGGATGTACTGGTTTCCAGTATCTGAGGAGGATAGGTTTGAGCAGCATTTATTGACAGTTTCCTTAGTGGGGATGTTTCCATTAAAAACACAAGGTTATGAAGATCATAAAATATTCTTGCAACATAAAGTAATAATACCACTGGCATTTATCTTACTGTTTTTCATGTTCTAAGTGCATGCACCTGAGTAAAAGGATCTAGGCTGTGGTCCAGTCTGAGAGATGTCAGCAAAGGCTGCCTAGGCCAGTTCAGTTCAGTAAATGCCCTCTTAATCTTCTCTTCCACACAGACAGCAGTGATGAGCATGCCCATAAACCCACATGATTATTCTGGGAAAAATGAAATGGTTGTATTATTTTTGAGGTAGTAATTCAACTTTCAAGGGGCAAGTACAGTTGATTATTTTATCACCTGTCAGTGCATTGTTTTTGTTCTTTAACCAGTGATGTATGTTTCAGATAAGAAGTAAAGCATAAAGTATATGAGCATATAAACATATAAAGCATAAAGTATAAAGTATGTGTGTTTTTATCTTGCTATGCCTGTAGTGAATGTTTAATTCTGCCTTGGAAGTGGCCAGATTTGAAGGTGCTATGATTTGAACTGTCAGTGGGATAAAAGGGCAGATCAAGAAAGCGCTCCGGGCTCCAGAAGAAGCTTTCCAGGCCAGCTTTGAGGATAAGCTGCTGAGCGGTCAGTGTCTAGTGTGGTGTTCAGGGAAGGGCACTACCATTCATGCTTGACTTCTAGCCAGTGTGATCAGAAGCTAGAGTCAGGTCTCTAGAGAGTTGAGCAGCTCCAATATTAGATCTCCCAGTTGTATGCGGTGTGCCCATGCACCTTGTGTCTGCAGCTCCCTGGTCACAGCCAGTAACAGTTCTGTGATCTATGAGAGTAGTTTTCTTTTCTTTTTTTTTAAATTGCATTTTAGGCTTTTGGGGTACATGTGCAGAACATGCAAGATAGTTGCATAGGTAGACATGTGGCAGTGTGACTTAACGAGCTTTCTCTTCACATACTTTGCCACCAGGTAAAGAAGTTTGGAGTGCAGCTTTTTTTCTTTGTTTCTTTGCAATATGGATGTGAATCTTCTTTTGAAAATGTTAAAGTAAAGTACCTCTCTTTTCAGATATTGTGTTCATGTGAACTTGGTATTCGATTTCAGTCCCAGCCTTCTATAACCCAGTAACATCTTTGTTGAAACCAGTGGGTGAAAAAGACACCTGGTCAGGAATGCGGACCACAGGTCAACTCAGGCTCACCCATGGCAACAGACTAAAGGCAAACAAGGACTCTCTGTATAAGGTAGCAGTCGTGTGTGTGTTAGTGCAGATGCAGCCTGTGCTCTGCAGACAGGGAGTCACATAGACATTTTTCTATAATGTCTTACATGCTTTGAATGTTCAAGTATAAAGTCTAACATTGAATTTGACTGAACAGTTGTATATTCCAAAATGGAATATTTTGGAACAGAACATCAAAAAGTGGTAATAGTGTTTCTTTCTTGATTGAAGACAAACTTTTCTTTTTTAAAATAAATTTTATAGCCCGGCATGGTGGCTAATGCCTGTAATCCCAGCACTTTGGGAGGCCAAGGCGGGTGGATCATGAGGTCAGGAGATCTAGACCATCCTGGCTAACACAGTGAAACCTCATCTCTACTAAAAATACAAAAAAATTAGCTGGGCGTGGTGGCATGCACCTGTAGTCCCAGCTACTCGGGAGGCTGAGACAGGAGAATTGCTTGAACCTGGGAGGCTGTGGCTGCAATGAGCCAAGATCTCACCATTGCACTCCAGCCTGGGCAACAAGAGCAAAACACCATCTCAAAAAAAAGAATTATTTTGTATATTTGAGGTTAACCACATGATCTTAAAGGATACATATAGATAGTAAACTGGTTACTATAGTGAAGCAAATCTCACATAGTTACATTTTGTTGTGTGACAGGAACAGCTAAAATCTACTTATTTAACAAAAATCCCAAAGACAATACATTTTTATTAACTGTAGCCCTCATGATGTACATTAGATCTCTACCTTGTTGATCCCACATGTCTGCTGCTTTGTACCTTTTATTGTACATCTCCCAGTTTTTACTGGTCATTTCTTATTTGGCCCATTTTTTCAACTGGCTCGTTTGTCTGCTATTAAGTTGTAAGAGTTCTTTACCAGTTTTTGGATATTAATACTTTATTAGGTATGTGGTTTGCAAATATTTCTTCCAGTCTGTAGATTCCCTTTTCATTTTGTCAGTTGTTTCCTTTGCTGTTTGGAAGCTTTTTAGTTTGGAGCAGTCCTCCTTTTTTTAAATGTTTGCATTTGTAGCCTCACTTGTGGTGGGAAATCCAAAAAATTATGACTAAGTCCAATGTCAAGAGGCTTTCCCCTTTTGTTTTCTTCTAGGATTTTTATGGTTTCAGGTCTTATTTGGGTCTTTTATCTGTTTTGAGTTGATTTTTGTGTATGGTGTATGATCAGGATCCAATTTTATTCTTTTGCATGTGAAAATCCAGTTTTCCCTAGCACTATTATTGAAGAGACTGTCTTTTTTTTCATTGTGTGTCTTGTTTGCCCTTGTCAAAAATTAGTTGACAGTGTATGCTTTCGATTTATTTCAAAGGTCTCTGTTCTATACCATTGGTCTGTTTTGTTTGTTTGTTGTTTTTCTGCCAGTATCATACTGTTTTGTTAACTATAGCTTTGTAATACAATTTTAAATCAGGAGGTGTGATGGATCCATCTTTTTCTTTCACAGTAATCTGTTGGCTGTTGGGGTTTCCTGTGTTCCATATGAGTTTCAGGATTGTTTGTTTTGGGGTTTGTGTGTGTGTGTGTGTTGTTTCTGTTTTTGTTTTTATGAGATGAAGTCTCACTCTGTCACCCAAGCTGAGTGCAGTGGCATGATCCTCGACTCACTGCAATCTCAGTCTCCCAAGTAGCTGGGACTACAGGCACATGCCACCATGTGTGGTTAAGTTTTGTATTTTTAGTGGACACGGGGTTTCACTATGTTGTCTAGGCTGGTCTTCAACTCCTGACCTCGTGATCTGCCTGCCTTGGCCTTCCAACATGCTGGGATTTATAGACGTGAGCCAGGGTTGTTTTTTTTTTTTTCCTGTTCTCTGAAGAATGCCATCAGAACTTTGATGAGGATTGTGTTAAATCTGTATATTTGCTTTGGGTAGTGTGTAACATTTTAACAATGTTAGTTCTTCTGATCCATAAACATAGGATATCTTTCCATTTGTTCATTTCTAAATTTCTTTCCTCAATGTTTTATGATTTTCAAGTGTATACATCTTTCACCTTCTTGGTTAAATTTATTCCTAAGTTTTTGTTTTTCTTTGATGCTATTATAAATAGGATTGTTTTCTTGATTTGTCAGCTAGGTTTCTGTTGAAGCAATCTGGATTTTTATGGAAGTTTGAATGTTTCAATAAGCTTTTGATTGAAATGTTAATGTACATACAGAAGAGTGCCCAAATCCTAATTGTGCAGCCAGATGAACTGTGTGGCACACCAAGCTGCTACACCCCAGACCAAGCATTAGCCTCGCCCTGTGGCCTCTCCCAGGCACTGTTGTACTGCCCCCCAAAATATCCACTTTCCCAGTTCCTGACATGGATTTGTTCGGCCTAGTTTTGACTTTTATAAAATATAGCACGTTCTATTGAGCCTAGCTTCTTTGATTCAGTATTATTGGACACATCCATGTTCCTGTCTATGGCAGACGTTCATTTATTGTCATTGTTGAGTTCCATTATACAAATGTGTCACCATTTATCCATTGGTGGGTAAAATGGTTTCCAATTTTTGGTCGTCGTCCCATGGCCCTGAACACTAAGGTCTGGATATAGGACTTGCAGGTGTTCAGGGGCACACACACTTCTGCTGGAGGCTTCCTGGATGGGGTAGGGGGTCCAGGGCACCTGTACTCTGCTTCAGTGCTGAGGTTTTTGTGTCATGTTCTGGGGGGCGCAGTGGTTTGGCCTCCACCACCAGCAGCAGCTTAAAGAGTTCCTGCTGTTGCTCATGCTTGCTAACAGCTGGCTTGTTCAGGTTTTTTTTTTTCTTTTAGGTTTTTCAGTGCCTGTCTGGACTTCTGTTTTTATTTAGTTTAGAAGTTTGTTTCTTAGAACTTTCATTATTCTCCTCAAAGCCTAACAATGCATTTGAAAAGATCTGTTCTTTGTTGTGGGGTATTCAGTTTTGTAATAAGAGGGTTGTTAAAAGCATCAGTCTGCCACTTTGCTAGAAACAAAAGTCTCCTCGGCTTTTATTTTATATAAAATAGTTAATGAAATTTTGAACTATCTTACATGAATTTTTATTAAAATACACTTTAGTGCCCCTTGTTCATTCTACTCTTTTGTAAGAAGTAGGGTTTCCCTGAATTCTTGAATTTGAAAACAATTTGGGTTCCTAAACAGAGAATATGGAAGATTATTAAGATGATGTCTTTAATAATAAATTTCCAGACATAGGAGAAACTTTTTTTATATAGTTGACTTTAATAAAAGCCTAGGGCAAAACTTTGAATTTATTAACAGTGTTTATGAGGCAGTTAAGAATGTGCGTCAGCTCGATTAAACAGAAGTTGAGATTACCTTGAAAATTTAGTAGAGTATTTTGCCTTCATCTGTCATTTGAGTCTCCCTTCTTTCAGCCAGCCTTCCATCAGAAATAGAAAAAAGTGAAACTTCTTAATTAGAATCAGATATCAGGACACTTTGGCTGCTGATTGAAGGAAGAACTGTCCTTAAATCCTGAGTGGGTGGGGTGTGGTGGCTCATGCCTGTAATCCCAGCACTTTGGGAGGCCAAGGTGGGAGAATCACCTGAGGTTAGGAGTTCGAGACCAGCCTGACAAAAACAGTGAAACCATGTCTCTACTGCAAATACAAAAATTAGCTGGGCATGGTGGGGTGTGCCTGTAGTCCCAGCTACTCAGGAGGCTGAGACAGGAGACTCACTTTAACTCGGGAGGTGAAGGTTGCAGTGAGTTGAGATCATGCCACTGCACTCTGGCCTGGGTGACAGGGTGAGACTCCATCTAAAAAAAAATATCCAGAGTGGTTGATAGTCAAGATGAAAAAAGCTAGATTATTTCTGGTAGACTGGGAAACAACCACCTCAGTGGCCAAAAGACAAGGCCTGAGATTTTCATTAAAAGAAACCTTGGGCCTATTGATCTGCTCTGTTGAAACCCCATAATTCCATACCATAGAAATGGATGCAGTGGGTTTTGGGGGAGAGTTGTAAGTATAAGCTCTCTGTTCCTCTGTTTACTGAGAATTGTGGGTGTCCGCTGAGACAGTCCATATTTGGCAGATAGTTGAGCCCTGATTTCTCAGGCCCAGTGGATTCTTTTTACTGATCTTGTGGAAATGTCAACCCAATGAGATTTTATGCAGAAGTTTTAAATGCACATTGATTATAATTTGAATATGTCACAGTCTTAATTTTTCTTTTCAGCCAATCCTGAGGCAAAAGAAACATTTTAATTCACTGCACATTCCAAAAGCCTTGCAGAAGGCCCTGCCATTTAAGAACAATCCCAAGATTCAAACAAAGGCAGGCAAGGTACCAAAGGACAGGCAGAGACCAGCCATCGTACGTGAGGCTCATGAAGGAAAGGTATTGTTGCCCATGCCATACTGCACGCTGCATTTAGATGGGAAGAGAACACTATCAGCAGCACACTTCACGTTTCTACTGCAGTCTCAGTTATTCAGGGCATTGAAACTTAGGAAGAACCAGAGTCCATTTCCCTTCCTTTGCCTGGTCTTGCTCTGCCTGTGCTTTTGAATGGGGGTTAACAGACACATAGCTGGGGAACCCTTCTGTCTTGGTTAGCTGTAGAGTGTCCACAGAATGATGAACAGCGGTGTTAAAGGTAAAATGTAATCACACCTATGTCTCCATGCCAACAATGACTTCCAAGCACAGGATGCATTTTCATGCAGTTAATATTCATTTGGATCATGGGTTGCCCCTAGTCTTAGTGCTTAGGATGTGAGTGTACGGTGGCTGAGAGAGTATTTTGATGCTCACCGGCTTTTGTCCTTGTTAGATCCTCGCGCTGCTGGATGCTCTTGAGTACCGTGCATAGTCAGAAGATGAAGAAGGCCAAGGAGCAGTGGCACCTGCACAATAAGGAGCACTTCAGAGCCAGGCAGAAGGAGGAAGAGGAGAAGCTGAAGTGGCAGAAGGACCTCAGGAAGAAGCTTTTCCGAATTCAGGGGCAGAAGGAAAGAAGAAACCAGAAGTCCAGTTTGAAGGGGGCTGAGGGGCAGCTGCAGTGAGCCTTTGGACTGGAGGGACTTCCCTGGATCTGCAGAGGTAGATAGTTTCAAACATCACAGTTGGAATGCTTGTGAATGACAAGTTGGGCCAAGAGCCCAAGAGATGTCTTTACCCAGGCTGTGCCTGTGAGAGGAGGAACAGAGAAGCCTTGGCTGCTGGGACCCGGGTTCATTTTCAGCACCCGGGGCTGTCAAGATTTAAAGTGATATAGCTATGGTTATGTGGATTCTCCTACTTCCCTCTGCCTGCCTCAGTTTAATTATTTGTACTATAAAAATATCATTAAAATATTTTGTTGGTTGTGACTTAGTAGTTTTCACTAGGGATGAATGCCTGTCAATTCTTTGTGGAGAATTATTTATTCTATCACCTTCATGAGGTATCTTCCAGAAGGGACAGAAATATTCACTTGAACCCTCAGCTCTTATGTAAAATTTTAGAGAAGGCTGTATAGTATTTTTTTGGCGAGAGGTTTTGTCTGTTATTTCCTTTGATCACTAGCCCTTGTGGACATTTTCTATCTTATTTCATATGTTTTGCACATTAGTATAGTAATGAGGTAACAATAAGTACTTTTTTTTAAAGCTTTAGACCAGGAGATTGTTGTCTCAGGTGCAGAGACCAAGGAAATTTTATGTATCAGTGAGGTAGGCTTCCCATATGTTCATGCATTCTACCTGCCTCGCTACATTACTCTTTTTAAAATTAAACATTATATTGATATAATCAATAACTATTATATAGGTTATGTATTTTATGATTGCATGTTGATATAGTTATGTGCAATCAAATTCTATATGATGTAATCATAGAGTCACATACATTATATACTTTGCCCAGTTTCTCTCAGTGGTAACATTTCACACACACCACAATCAGGATATTGACATCAATACAGCCCACTGATTTCATTCACATTTCCCTGGTTTTACTTTTTCCAACATATACTCAACGTGTGCAGGTGTGTGTAGAAATATGGAACACAGCTACAGTGACTCACTCCTGTATTCCCAGCACTTTGGGACACTGAGGCAGGAGGATCACTTGAACCCAGGAATTTGAGACCGGCTTAGGCAACATGGCGAAAATTCATCTCTACAAAAAATGCAAAAATTCACCAGTTGTGGTGCTGTGCACCTGAATTTCCAGCTGCTTGGGAGGCTGAGGTAGGAGGATCACTTGAGCTTGGGAGGTTGAGGCTGTAATGAGCCATGATAGCATGCTTCACTCCAGCCTGGGTGGCAGAGCAAGACCCTGTTTCAAAAAATACACATATGTGGAACACTTCATGAATTTGTGTCATCTGTGCACGGGTCTGTACTGACCTCTGTGTTGTTCCAGTTTTAGTATGTGCACTACTGAGATGAGTGCCACATTGCCTTTACAACATCATAGGGGCCAAAGAGGGTTGGCAGGATTGTGAGAAGCTGACCTAGTCTGAGAGGCTTTCTAAAAGCCTAAACCTATCAGTGGGCAGGTGCTCAGTGTCGTGTCTCGTAAGAAGGGAAGGGATGTGAGAATCCTGTCAGGGCTGGTTCCACCTGGGAAGTGACAGCTGGAACATGCCCAGAACTTTCTGAGCAACTCTGGGTGTAAATGTTTCTCTATTCCTCAAGAGCTATTATGAATTTCATCATCTAGTATGCTGATAGACCTGGGGACTGACAAATAGCCCATCAAAATTATAAACTAATTTAAAACTAATTTGTTATATAGCATAATTGATACATTTTAAAATGCAAAACTACAACTAAAATATACAAGACACTCTAAGTCGTACCATGTTTTATAGTTAAGTAGTTTACAAGGTGATCAGCAAGTATCTTATACAACAAGCAAATTTGTTCAAAGAGAAGCATTGCAAATAAGTATTTATAAAAACTGTATAGTTTTATATTTTAGCCATAAGAGTGAAATTCTTTAGCAATGGGGACATAAAAGAATGTTTAAGCACAGTTGCAGACAATATCTGCAACTGGGTTCAAGCAATTCTCCTGCCTCAGCCCCCCAAGCAGCTGGAATTACAGACATGCACCACCATGCCAAGCTAATTTTGTATTTTTACTAGAGATGGGGTTTCTCCATGTTGGTCAGGCTGGTGGTGAACTCCCAACCTCAGTTGATCTGCCCGCCCTGGCCTCCCAGATTGTTGGGTTTACAGGTGTGAGCCACCATGCTGGAGTGCTATGTGCAATCTCAGCTCACTGCAACTTCTAGCTCTAGAGTTCAAGTGATTCTTGTGCTTCAGCCTTTCAAGTTGCTGGGATTACACGCATGCACCACCATGCCCAGCTAATTTTGTATTTTTAGTAGAGACAGAGTTTTTCCATGTTGGTCAGGCTGGTCTCAAGCTCTCAACCTCAGGTGATCCACCCACTTTAGCCTCCCAAAATGCTGGAATTACATGTGTGAGCCACCACACGTGGCTGGGAGTTAAGTATTTTACCATCTTTTTTCTCTCAGAAATTGGGCTAGTAACACTGAGGAGACACTTCTCCCCTGCCTGAAATTTCCTTTATTATCTTCTTCAAGTTGCAAGGGCTCTGGAACAGCCCTTGCAGAGCCCTGTTCTTGTCTCATTTTCTTTTGCATTACTGGCTGATAGTGATATGATATGCAAAAGCATTTGCCTGTGTGTTAAAATGTAAACATGGCAGATATTGTTTCCTCTATTCACAGTTGGAACTTTCTGCTCTACAATCCATGATGGCTGTGCAAGAAGAAGAGCCCCAGGTGTGGGAAGAAGAGCCCCAAGTGTGGGAAGAAGAGCTGCAGGTGCAGGATGCTGATATGGAGCCTCAGACCAGGAAAATACAGATTAAAGAAGACCTCATAAAGGTCCTTCAATATTTTTACAGATCATTGGAAATGTTCACATCTCAGATTACCTGTAGGGCATCTTCAGACACTATGCACACATTGAATCCCTTGCCAAGTGCTTATCAGTATCCCAATTAAAAGTATAGGCAGACTGTCTCAAGAGCATTTGTTCCTCTGCTCCTAAACTGAATAATACTTTTATTACTATTTTCATGTTTACACTTATGTTTTGACTTCTAGGACCTGAAAACACAACTGGTTATCTTGATGTACCAGCTGTGGAATGCCTGACCCAGAAAGTATTACTTTGGGAAAAATTTGCTTCAGTAGAATCCTAGGGTCAAGAAATTTCAGGAAACCAAAGACAACAGATAAGTCATTGGAATATAGACTGACTGACTCTCTCTCTCTCTCTCTCTCTCTCTTTCTCTTTCTCTCTCTCTCTCTCTCTCACACACACACACACACACACACACATACACACACAGTGTCTCACTGTGTCACCCAAGCTCGAGTGAAGTGGTACCACGATGGCTCACTGCAGCCTCAAACTCTGGGGCTCAAAAGCATCTTCCTGCCTTAGCCTCCTGAGTAGCTGGAGCCGCAGGTGCATACCACCACACCCAGCACAAACCTTGGTTTTCTACTGTAAAATAAACCATGGTATTGGTTTTTCATAAGTGGTATTTCCTTGGGAAACTACTCTAAAGTTTCCTACTTTGATCAGTAGCAGCTATAGATGCCTCTTTCTGATGTGTGGTTCTGTAAAGAGCAGCAGTTATTTTGGACACATATCAATAGTTATCTCTCACACTTGTAGATAAGTCATCTCTGTCTCAACTGAATCTTTCTCCTCTATCTGCATTTAGCCATGTTCACATGTCTCCCAGTTTAAAAAAAGAGAAAGAAACCCCTGCCTTTGCCCCAACTTTCTTTGTAGCTACACCCTGTTTAACCTTTCTTTTCCAACAGACTTACTTGCCTGTACTCCCTATCTCCATTAGCATCTCTCTCACTAAATACTCATCCCACTCCATTCTGGCTTTCAACTCTACCTTAAACAGCTCTTTGTTTGTTATACATAATCATATCTCATTATCTTTATAGGACTATTACACTCACAATGGCACACGTCTGTGATTAATGGATGTCTTTTTCCTCCACTAGATAGTAGGCTTCCCTTAGAACCTGAAACAGAGTCTTTCCCATAGAAGGTGCTCAATAAATATTTATTGAATGAATGAAGAATAGTGGTAACTCCTATGATATATGTTTCCCTATTGCCTGTCCCATTTTCCTCTTACTCCTTTCTCTTAGCTGCTTTTCTGTGCTTCTAGCTTCTCTCTCCTTTTTCTCCTTTTTGCTCCCATGTTTGAATTCTACCTTACAGGGTTTTAAAGATTAAAAAAATTGTGAATATGACATTGATTTGAAAACTATGCAATATTATCAAAAGCTAAAGTAATAAGATAGCAGGCTTTTTAAGTCATAGTACAAACTAATGCATTTTCTCATTTCCCTGGATGAACTTTGGCTGCATGTCTCACTGTGCCATTTGTGTATTGCTGCTTCTCTCTTTTCTCAGTTGCTGCTGATGCTAGAAGGACTAGTAGATGAACAGAGTCAGCTCAATGAGGACTTAGAAGCAAAGAGACAGCTCTCTAGCAGTCTGGTGAAGTTCCATGCCCATCCAGAGAGGTAAGAGAATGGCTATTTTTCCTTTTATTCTTTGTTGAAATTTTTATTTCTTTTACTATTGTATTCTTTTTATGCCTTTTCTTCTTCCTAAAGGGTAGATGCTTATGATACTGAACATGGGATTAAAAACACGGACAATGACTGGGACTACCCACGTTGTCATTTGTTTTATGGATTGCTCTGAGCCTCAGTGTCAAAATCTTAAGTCAGGAATAGTGCCTGTTTCACACAGCGATTGCAGAGATTAAATGAGAAGACAGCTTTGGTGTCTAAAACAATGCCTTGCATATAGTCAGCACTCAAGTATGTTCCTTTCCTTTTGTGATCCATGTCCTCTTAAAGGCTGTTCTGTTGTAAAAGTAATGCTACACCCTGTCTCTACTGAAAATTCACAGGGCATGGTGTGTGCCTGTAGTCCCAGCTACTTGGAAGGCTGAGGCAAGAGAATCACTTGAACCCAGGAGGCGCAAGTTGCAGTGAGACAAAATTGTGCCACTGTGCTCCAGTCTGGTGACAGAGAGACACTTTGTCTCAAAAAAAAAAGTCTGGCTATGAAGTGCACTGATATTTATTTAATATCATTGAAAAATATATATTAATTTGGATGGCTAATATCACCCGGAGACCATTGATAACCATCATGACAAATACATTTTCTTCTACCTCTTGATTTTTGGTCATATATATGATGGAGTCTTGCTCTTTTGCCGACACTGGAGTCCAGTGGCACAATCTTGGCTCACTGCAACCACTGCCTCCCAGATTCAAGTGATTCTCCTGTCTCAGCCTCCTGAGTAGCTGGGATTACAGGTGCATACCACCATTCCTGGCTAATGTTTGTATTTGTATTTATTTACTTTATTTATTTCTATATTTGAGACAGACTTGGATTTATGTATTTATCTATCTAGCTATCTAATTATTTAGAGACAGCCTGACATTTACCCATTTATTTATTTAGATCAAGGCTGACAACATTTATTTATATACTTATGTATGTGTGTGCAGGCTTGCATTTATTCATTTTCTTAACTATCTGTAGAATGATTTAGAGGCTGGCTCGCATTTCTTGATTGATTGATTGATTTTAGACAGATTCTTTCTCTCTCTCCAGGCTGGAGTGCAGTGCCACAGTCCTGGCTCCCAGGAACCTCCCCCTCTTTGGTTCAAGTGATTCTTCTGCCTCAGCCTCCCTTGTAACTGGGACCCTAGGTGTGTGCCACCATGCCTGGCTAATATTTTTGTATTTTTAGTAGAGACCAGGTTTCTCCATGTTGGCCAGGATGGTCTTGATCTCTTGACCTCGTGTTCCAACTGTCTCAAACTCCCAAAGTGCTGGGTTACAGGACTGAGCCATCTTGCCTGGCCTTTATTTATTTATTTATTCATAATTACAGATTTATTTACTTAGAGGCAGGAAGGCTGGCTTGCATTTATTTATTGAGATTTTCATTTATTTATTTAATTATTTTCATCTTATTATTTTTTTAAATAGCGACAGGGATTCTTTCAGCATTTTGGCCAGGCTGGTCTTGATGTCCTGACCTCAGGTGATATAGCCAGCTCAGGCTCCCAGTGGGTGGGGAATTAAAAACATAAGCCACCAAGTGGGGTTTCTTGTTTATTGATTTGTTTATCTATCTGTTAATTGATTTATTTAGAGGCAGACTTGCATTTATTTGTTTGCTTATGTACTTATGGAGAAGCAGGTCTTATTTATTTATTTATTTATTTATTTGGAGGCAGGCTTGGATTTATGTATTTATCTATCTAGCTATTTAATTATTTAGAGGCAGGCTCACGTTTACTCGTTTATCTTATTTAAACCCAGGCTCACAACATTATTTTTATACTTACGCATTTGTGTGCAGGCTTGCATTTATTCATTTTCTTAACTATCTGTATAATGATTTAGAGGCAGTCTTGCATTTATTTACTTATTTACTTTTTTCTTTCTTTTTTTTTTTTAAAGATGGGGTTTCACCATATTGGTCAGGCAGGTCTTGAACTCCTGCCCTCAAGTGATCCACCTGCCTTGGCCTCCAAAGTGCTTGGATTACAGGCATGAGCCACTACGCTTGGCCGATTTGTTTATTTTAGACGGGGTCTTGCTCTGTCACAAGGCTGGAGTGCACTGGCCCAATCTTGGCTTATTGCATCCTCTGCCTCCTGAGTTCAAGCAATTCTTCCTCCTCAGCCTCTGGAGTATCTGGGACCCCAGGCGAATGCCACTGAGCCTGGCTAATATTTTTATATTTTTAGTAGAGGCGGGGTTTCACCATGTCGGCCAGGATGGTCTTGATCTATTGACCTCCTGATCCACCCTTCTTGGCCTCCCAAAGTGCTGGGATTACAGGACTGAGCCATCTCGCCAGCCTTTATTTACTTATTTACTTACTTAATTATTTATTTACTTAGTGGCAGGTAGGCCATTCTTGCTCTTGTTGCCCAGGCTGGAGTGCAATGGCATGATCTCAGCTCACTGCAACCTCCACATCTTCAGGTTTAAGTGATTCTCCTGCCTCAGCCTCTTGAGTAGCTGGAATTGCAGTGATATGCCACCATGCCAGCCAATTTTGTATTTTTAGTAGAGACAGGGTTTCTCCTTGTTGGTCAGGCTGGTCTCTAACTCCTGACCTTAGGTGATCCACTCAACTTAGCCTCCCAAAGTGCTGAGATTACAGGCATGAGCCACCATGCTCGGCCTAAATAACATGTGTTTAAAGGTCACATTATCCTACAATATCCATTTTTCTTGCATATTTAGGAAATTGAATTTTTTTTTTACTAAAACATGCTGACATGTGGGAAATAGGATGCAAAATGTACAGAAATGTTTTAGACATAGTTCGAGGTTTCCAAAAGATTTTGTGCTAGGGAGGCTGCTTGCTACAGGCTCCCAAAGCTCTGGCAGGACATAGGATTCATCCTCCCTCAGCAGAGGCCATGAGGTGAGAAGCCCTGGGGAGCACCTGAGCTTTGGGCTATTAGCATAGAGTGTTCAGGTCTTTATAGTTTGAACCTGCGACACAGAGAGATCACGGGTCTCTGGCTTCCTGTGACCTTTGCCTTCTTTGCCAAAAGAATATATGACCCTCCGAAGCAAGAAACTTGAGGGCATGAGTCACCCCAGCCCTGGCATCTACCCAGAACATGAGAAGGAAGGAACAGTGGTCCTCCAGTGACATCGCAGGGCTGGCACAGGCAGTCACTGCCCTGTGTGGATCACCCTCTGTATTGGGCAACCTGAACCCCATCTGTGGAAATGTGAGGAAAAAAATACAAAGATCTTTATGTGAGCACTGAGAAGGCAGATGCAGCAGAAACCTCTAGGAGGTAACTACCCAGTCTCGGACCTATGGTGGAGAGACAGCATGTTGGTGATCATGTTTACTTACACTCAGGTCCCCAGGTAGCACTATGACCTCCTCTGTGGCTCTGAAAAGGACGATTTGGAAGGAGTTTATCACAGCTAATATTTAACAAGCCCCTACTATTTGCCAAATCACTCACCCCTGGAAACAACCTAAGGAGCTAGGGATTCTTATTATATGTCTTTTATAGAGAAGGACACAGAGACGTAAAGACATGAATTATCTTGCCCACATCACTCAGCTAATAAGTGGTGAAGGCCAAATAGAACCTAAACAGTGTGGCTGCAGAGCCCATATGCATTAAACAAGTGTTTATTGAGTATCTGCCATGCACAAGGCCTTGTGGATTAAATATAGTTATGATTAATAATATAGCAATGAAAAATCACTGACACTTTTTGGACGTAACATTTTCTTTTTTGTAGGTTTCTGGCACAGAACTGTGTATCCAATAATAGTGAAATTGATCCCACTAGTTATGACAGAAATGATGATACATTTAAATGAGTTGGGAGTTTTAGAATCCTTGACAGAAACTAAATGAGGAATAAAATTGTTTCCATTTCACACAAAAGAAAACTGAAATGAAGAGGGGTAAATTAATTTTGCATGCCATGAAGTCAAAATTCCAAGTACAGGAATTTGAACTTGGTTCTGACCTTTTCTGTGGCCCCCATGCTCCTGACCACTATAGACTCAAGCATCACCAAACTTCTTAAAAATTTAATTATCTGATAGATTGGCCCTCACCATGAGCTTCCATTCCTGTTCTGTAGGTGGTGAAGCCCTTTATTGTCCTGACCCCACAGTTCCTGTCCCATGACCAGGGTCAGCTCACCAAGGCACTGCAGCAGCACGTAAAGTCAGTGCCATTTCTCATGTGAGTACCTGAGGAAGGTGAGTTAGCACAGAAAGATGGGGCCTGGTGCACTTGAACAGTTCCTGGTCTCGGCTGCCCCACGTCTCACAGAAGGCCATGCTGGGAGAAGTGTAGGCAGTCACAGTAGTGGCTTTTTCCTCCTTTTTACTTCAATTCAAGTGGCTTAAGGATGAAGTAGAGTAGTTGAATTATTTGGATATAAACTGCTGTCTTGGTCAGAAAGTCAAAAAGAATTATTGCTGGCATGTTAACCTAAAGAAAAACAACCAGACAAGTGCCCAGCGGTACTTCAAAAGGCTACTTATTATCCTGCAAAATTTAGGCAGGAGTTGTGGCTCATGCCTATAATCGCAGCACTTTGGGAGACTGAGTCAAGACGATCACCAGAGGTCAGGAGTTCAAGACCAGCCTGACTAACATGGAGAAACCTTGTCTTTACTAAAAACACAAAATTAGCCAGGCATGGTGGCAGGTGGCTGTAGTCTCAGCTACTCAATAGGCTGAGGCAGGAGAATCACTTTGGACGTGGGAGTCAGAGGTTGAAGTGAGCCGAGATTGCACCACAGCACTCCAGCCTGAGTGACAGAGGGAGAGTCTGCCTTAAAAAAAAAATTTTTGCAAAATTTGCAACGGAAATCAAAATCAGCAGCTTCTAAATTATCTTTAACATGATTCATAGTTAGAAATGGATTTTATATTTTATATATATAGTTCTACATTTTTGAATAAAATAGTAAAATTTATTATACAAGTAATACTTTTTTAATTCTTCATTTATTTGAATGCTTTGTGCAATCTACAAAAAGTATAATAGTAATTAAATTATTTACTAAACATTATCTTGTCATTTAAAATGATTTCATAAATGATCTCTTGTTTTTGAGATTTTATATGTGTGTGTGAATATATATATTTTTTTTTCTTTGCATTTTTTTTCTTTTGAAAGAGTGTCTCTGTTGCTTAGGCTGGCATGCAGTGGCACAGTCTTGGCTCACTGCAGCCCCTGCCTCCCAGGTTCAAGTGATTCTTCTGTCTCAGCCCCCCAAATAGCTGGGACTACAAGTGTATGCCACCACATCTGGCTAATTTTTGTATTTTTCATAGAGATGAGGGTTGTACCATATTGGCCAGGCTGGTCTCAAACTCCTGATTAATGATCCAACCGCCTTGGCCTCCCAAAGTTCTCGGAGTACAGGCATGAGCCATTGTGATGGGTCTGAAATAAAAAAAAATTTCACAATGTGCTATTAAGAGAAAAACACTAGATATAAAAAAATATTCATAGTTTTTTTTTATCTGTTTAAAAATAATGATTGAAAGAATACATATGGAAGATGGCACGGTAGGAGCAAATCAAAATTGCAGCTCTCAGTGAAGACACAGAGGGTGAGTTCAATCTGCCTTTCCAGATGGATCTCTGTTGCCCACAGAACAAGCATATTCCCAGCTGTAGGAGAAACACGGGATGCCAGCACAGCTGTTAAGGCTTGCATGGATGTTTTGGCCGATGCCACAGTGCAGTGGCACTCTGCACAGAATGCACTGGTCGGGATGCCCTGTTAAGCCAGCAATCTGAGATGTGGGAGGGCAGATTAGCATATCCATCTGATTAAACAGGACTTGGACAGTGAGCCAGAGCAGGAGATTACCAGGAAGAGACGTTTAATCTGGCATGGTGGGTCACTGCATGGGAAATCACACAGATCCCAGTGCCATATCAGCAGCCAACTGAAACACCTGGGAGAGAGACAACCATTCTACTTAAAAAAATAAAAAGAGGGCTCTGAGACAGGGAGCCATGTGAACAGGCTCGGTGGGTCCCAACCCCACAGGGACAAACAAAATGGCGATTCAAAACACCTGGGGTTGAGAATTTCACTGCGAGCACAGCTGAACCCAGGATGGTGCAGCTCAGGACGGTGCAGCTCAGTAGAGGAGGGGTGTCTGCCATTATTGAGGTATACCGCCCCTACTGAGGTACACTCCCATTGCTGATGCAGCCTGCCATTGCCAAGGCAACGCGCCATAACAGAGACATTCTGCCAACAATGCAGAGCCTGCGGCAGCAGAGCGGAGCCTTGACAGGCAAATAGTGACTAGGCTGCCTCCTTGCTGGGCAGGAAGGTGCAATGGATACTCACAAAAAAAGCCTTAATTCCCCGAGACACAGCATCTTAGGAAAAAAGGGGGTTTTATGAGTTCTGCTGCAGCAGACTTAAACGTACTGGCCTAACCGCTCTTAATGATCAACGGAGCTCATAGCTCAGCACTTGAGCTCCTATAAAGTAACGACCACCTCCTCAAGCAGCTCCCTGACCCCTGTATATCCAAAAAGTTACCTCAAAAAGGACTGATCAGACTGACATGTGGCGGGCATTACTCTGGGACAAAGATAGCAGAAGAAGAAACTGGTAGCACCCCTCACTGTTTTGCAGCTGCTACAGGTATACTCCAGACAAGCAGGGCCTGGAGTGGCCCTTAGCAGTCCTACAGCAGAGGGGCTAGACTGTAAGAAGGAAAACTAAGTAACAGAAATACTTCATCATCAACAATCTGGGCACCCACTCAGAGACTCAATCGAAAAGTCAGCAACTACTCAGACGACAGGTGGATAAACCCGCAAAGATGGGAAGAAACCAGTGCAAAAAGGAGGAAAACACCGAAAACCAAAAGACCTCGCCTCCTACAAAAGACCAAAACTCGTCACCAGCAAGGGAACAAAACTGGACGGAGAATGAGTGTGATGAAATGACGGAATCAGACTTCAGAAGGTGGGTAATGAGAAACTTCCATGAGCTAAAAGAACATGTTCTAAATCAATGCAAAGAAACTAAGAACCTTGAAAAAAGAGTTGAATAAAGATTCGAGGAAATGATAACAAGAATGAATAACTTAGGAATATGAATGAATTGAAAAAGCTGAAAAACACAACACGAGAAGTTCGTGAAGCATGCACAAGTTTCAATAGCCGAATTGACCAAGCAGAAGAAAAAATATCAGAAGTCGAAGATCATCTCAATGAAATAAAATGAGAAACCAAGATTAGAGAAAAAAGATCAAAAAGGAATGAACAAAGTCTCCAAGAAATGTGGGACTATGTGAAGAGACCTAACCTACGTTTGATACGTATACCAGAATGTGACGAAGAGAAAGAATCCAAGCTGGAAAATAGTCTTCAGGATATTACTCAGGGAAATTTCCCCAACATAGCAAGGCAGGCCAATAGTCAAGTCCAGGAAACACAGAGAACACCTCTAAGATATTCCACAAGAAGAGCAACCCCAAGGCACATAATCGTCAGATTCACCAGGTTTGAAATGCAGGAGAAAATACTAAGGGCAGCCAGAGAGAAAGGTTGGTTACCCACAAAGGGAAGCCCATCAGACTCACAGCAGATCTCTCGGCAGAAACACTACAAGCCAGAAGAGAGTGGGGGCCAATATTCAACATCCTTAAAGAAAAGAACTTTCAACCCAGAATTTCATATCCAGCCAAACTGAGCTTCATAAGTGAAGGAGAAATAAAATCCTTTGCAAACAAGCAAGTACTCAGAGATTTTGCTACCACGAGGCCTGCTTTACAAGAGCTCCTGAAAGAAGCGCTACACATAGAAAGAAACAACCAGTACCAGCCATTCCAAAAACATACCAAATGCTAAAGAGCAACAACAAAATGAAGAATCTGCATCAACTAATGGGCAAAATAGCCAGCTAGCATCAAAATGGCAGTATCAAATTCACACATAACAATATTAACCCTAAATGTAAATGGGCTAAATGCACCAATCAAAAGACAAAGACTGGCAAACTGGATAAAAAACCAAAACCCGATTGAAGCTCTCACTGGATGTGCAAAGAGGGTGAGTTGGGGACACATTTCCAGATTGATCTTAGTTGCCCACAGAACGGGGAAATTCTAAAAGAGACATGGGATGCCAGGCAACTAAAAGAGACATGGGATGCCAGGCAGAGGTTTTGGCTGGTGTAGCTGGCAGCCGGTGCGGCTGCGGCCCACGCCGGAGCGCAGAGGTGCTCTACAGTGCTCCATACAAAAGCGCACTGTTACGGGTGCCCTGTTGAACCGGCAAACTGAGACATGAGAGGGCTGAACTTGAGACTGAATGGGACTTGGACAGTGAGCCAGCCCAGGAAATCCCAGGGACACAGAGTTTGGGATGGCGCAGTGTGACAAACAAAACGGCCATTCCAAACGCTCCCAGTGAGGATGTTCCCTTAAAATGCAGCTCCGTGGGGGAGGGTCGTCCGCCATTACTGAGGCAATCAGCCCCTACTGAGGTACACATCCATTGCTGACGCAGCCTGCCATTGCCAAGGCAACCCAGTACAACAGAGAGACTCCGCCGCAGGGCATAGCCCGTGGCAGCAGGGTGGAGACCGCAGCAGAAGGGCAGAGCCTGCAGCAACAGGGCGAACCTCACACCAGCGGGGTGGAGCCTCGGCAGGCAAATAGTGACTAGACTGCCTCCTAGCTGGGCAGGCCAGCACAGCGGACACTCAAAAATAAAGCCCAACCCCTTCAGAAAGAGCAGCTGGGAAAAAAAGGGTTTTTTTTTTATGATTTCTGTTGCAGCAGAATTAAACATAGCAGCCTAACAGCCCTGAATGAACAATAGAGCTCACAGCTCAGCAATTGAGCTCCTATAAAGTACAGACTGTCTCCTCAAGCAGCTCCCTGACCCCTCTGTATCCAAAAGACTGACATTTGGCAGGCATCATTCTAGGACAAAGATAGCAAAAAAAGTAACTGGTAGCACCCCTCACTGTTCCGCAGCTGCTATAGGTGCACCCCAGACAAGCAAGGCCTAGAGTGGACCTCAACAGTCTTACAGCGAAGGGGCTAGACTGGTAGAAGGAAAACCAAGTAACAGAAATACTTCATCATAAACAATCTGGGTGTCCATTCAGAGACCCAATAAAAAAGTCAGCAAATACACAGACAACAGGTGGATAAATCCACAAAGATGGGCAGAAACCAGCGCA